TCTTTTTGAGACAGGGTCTCCTTGTAGCCTCAGCTGTCCTGGAACTCACTATGTAGACCAGGCTGGCCTCGAACTCACAAAGATCCACCTGCCTCTGCCTCCCAAGTGCTAGGATTAAAGGTGTGCGCCACCACGCCTGGCTAAAATATTTTTTTACATATATCAGGGTATTTAATGTTTTATGACCTGGTGTGTATACATATATATGTTATATGTAATATGTATATATTATTATCATAGTGAATTTCCACCAAAATTGTTTCATATAAGAAAAATATTCTATTTTTATGTCATATTTGAATTGTGCTTCCTATTTCCCATGCCTTGGTGTCAAGTAAGTAGTAAAGTCAGAGGCTTGTCAAAGTTCCTCTGTTTTTGAAGAAAATATCTTAGTTAAAGCATTGAGTTACACTATACACCGAATCCTGCTCTTTTTTTCTAGCAGTAGATCTTCATGGAGGAACACGGAGTGACGCAAACTGAACACATGGCTACCATAGAAGCCCATGCAGTAGCCCAGCAAGTACAGCAGGTCCACGTGGCCACTTATACTGAGCACAGCATGCTAAGTGCTGATGAAGACTCCCCATCTTCCCCAGAGGACACGTCTTATGATGACTCAGATATACTCAACTCCACGGCAGCTGATGAGGTAACTGCCCATCTGGCTGCTGCAGGTAATGTTTGTATTAGAATCTTTTTTTCTTTTTTCTTAATTTGTGGTTTCATGCCTATCTGAAAGAGCCTAGGATTCAAGCACTCTCACATTTATTTTCATCATTTTTTTTTTTCAGTGCTGGGGATCAAACCCAGGGCCTCGCATATACTAGGCAAGTACTCTACCACTGAGCTACATCCCAAGCCCTTCATCACAGTTTTTAAGCCTTGCATTTCCAACTTTTGCCTGTTCTGAGAGTTAAGTTTGATGGTCACTTACTCCTAGCATTATGGCTTCAGTTTTGTTTTCTCTCCATTCTGACAGTCTTCTGGCTTTTTACTGAAGTATTTGTCACATTCATATAAAATGTAAGGCCGGACATTTAGAGTTAACTATTTTAATATTAAGAAAAAATTTTTTTAGTATTGATTTTTCTTCCCTTTGTGCTAAAGATGAAACCCAGGGCTTTGAACATGCTAGATAAGTGCTCTACTACTGAGCTGTTTGCCTTGGTCCCAAAATTTCTAGTGTGGGTTTCTCCCCCTGTCCACATTTGCCATCTAAGTTTCTAGTTTGAATTTTTTTTTTCTATTTCCACAGTAAGCAATATGATTTTACAGGCTGTAGACCCGTCTCTGGTGTGTATTGTTAGCAGGTCTTCATGTTGGCTTCTCTCTTCATATACTGGGGATGTGTAAGTGAATGTTGCATGATGTGTCTAGAAATTAAAGACAAAAAGAAAGAAAGAAAATTATTTAAGATTAAAAAAAAAATTTTATTTAATGTGTAGTGCCTGCATGTATGTAAATGCGCCCATGTCATGCAATGCTCATGGAGTCCAGAGGAGGGCATCAGAGCTCCTGGAACTGGAGTTACAATGACTGTTAGCTGCCATGTTGGTGCTGGGAACCAATCCTGGGTCCTCTGTAAGAGCAGCCAATGATCTTAACCACTGTGCTGTCTCTCCAGTTCCATAAGAGACTTTTAAAGAGACTTTGAACTTTTAAAGTATTTGAAAATTTTAAAGACAGTAGAACTTGTTGGACTATTTTATATTGTGATATTAACATCATATATTAGGGATAAGAAACTAAAAGTTTTTTTTTCTGCCTCCCGAGTGCTGGGATTAAAGGCGTGTGCCACCACGCCCGGCTCTAGAAATTATTTTTAAAAACGATTTGGTATCTAAGATCGTGTTGAGATGGCTTTTGTTTGCTTCTGTCCAGGTAGCCCTGAGAGCACTGGCAATCTTAAATTGTCTGAATTCAGTTTATGCTTTTGAGATTTTTCTGGGATGCTAAGTGATGTAAAGCTGGACCATGCTTTGTATCATTTGTTTATACTGTGTATTTAACACTGGTGAGAATATATCCTGCAAACCATGCCTAGGTGGATCTAGCATCCTACAAGGAGTCCTGGTCTTAGCAGGGATTTAGGAAAAGCTGCAGAGTTAGATGGGAAACTAATGATCAGGAATAACCAAAGCACTACATATGTGTGTGTGTGTGTGTGTGTGTGTGTATATATATATATATATGCTATATTTAAAGATGAAGAAGATAAGTACAATGGAAAATAATCTTATACTGTCTCTTATTATCTGTTGTGCTTTTTTCTGGAATGGTGAATTTAAAAATAAGAAAGGGCCAGGAATATAGCTCAGTGTAAAGCACTTGCCTAGCTAGCATGTGTAAGGCACTGGGTTTAATACCCAACACTAGGGGAGGGTGAAAGCTAAAAATAGGGCTTAATGGCAAAACAGAAATTGTTAGTAATATGTTTTGTGAAATTTTTATACTTCCCTGAAGAGGGCATCATAACATAATGAACCCAGGTCAACTTTCTTCCTGTGAAAGAAGATGCTTTTGAAACATGGATTTGCTATATTACTGTACTGTACATTGTTGTAGTGTACAAGATCAGCAAGGGTAGTGAGGGTATGACTCAGTACTGGGCACTTGCCTAGCACATGTAAGGCCCTGGGTTCAGTGTCCAGTGTGATTAAAGAGAAGACAGAGTTGGCCAGGTATGGTGGCTCAAGCCTGTAGTTTCCACTCTGAGGAGGTTGAGGCAGGAGAGTCACTTGAGCCCGGGAATTCAAGAGCAATCTGGTCAACATAATGATACCCAGTCTCAAAGACAAACAAAACAAAAACATAAGAGACAGGAAAGGACTAAAGTTCTTTATGTGGCCAATGTGAACTGAGGCCCAGTTAGTAGAAATGAGTTGCCATTTCATCATAGACAGTTATTGAGGAATTATTATACTACAGTTGTAAATTCTACAAATAAGAGCAGTCAGGCCACTGATTGCTGAGGGGTACAAGTAGTAAAGTAGAACAGTTGTAGAAAGCTTAGCTGCTCTGAAGAAATCATGAGGTAAAGGAATGGGAAGAGGATAGAGTGAAGCAGCGAGTCAGGCTTCAGACAGAGTGTCCAGAATCTCCTGAGTAGAGAAGCGGTGACTGACAGGTACAGCACAGGGAAGTGCCAAGGAAAGAACATTTCAGACTAAAGAAATTTTCTCAAAGCAAAGACTTGCAGATGGGAATGGGGAGGAGTCCATTGAGGTTGAGCTTTGTGAACCAGAAGAGAAAATGACACAGGAGGGCAGACAGCCAAACCAAATGGGCCTCAGGGTCACAGAGGTGGCAGGGATTCTTGTAATCACAGTAAACAGAAAGTTCTTGCAGAAGCTGCAGAGGGCCATCCTTAATTGCCTGGGGGTGTGATTGATCCTGGCCGGGCACCCTTACTACTAGCTAGCAGAGTAGTCTGTAGCATCATTATATCTAAAGGCAACCAGAAAAGGCAAATGACTACCATACCATGTTGTCTTTTAAAAAATGATTCTAATTTTCTTCAGCCCAGACAGCTCTTGATTGGTACTGATTTTTTTTTTTTTTTTTGGCTTTTTGAGACGGGGTCTCCCTGTAGCCCAGCCCCAGCTGTCCTGGAACTCATTATGTAGCCCAGCTGGCCTCCAACTCACAAAGATCTGCCTGCCTCTGCCTCCCAAGTGCTGGGATTAAAGGCGTGCACCACCACGCCATCAGTCTGGTACTGATTTTTAAGAGCAAAAACAAAACAAAAAACCCAACAACCACCACCAGTACCACCACCAACAAAAAACACTAGGAAGGGGCTAGGGAGATGATTTGGGCAGCAAAATGCTTGCTGTGCAAGCCTAAGGACCAGAGTTTGAGCCCCAGAACCTAGGCAAGAAGCTGAGTGTGGTGGCTTGTGCTTATAATCCCTACAATGGGAAGAGACAGCCAGGTCCCTGGGGCTATCCAGCCAACCTAGCCCAATTGTTTGTCTTCTAGTTTCCACATGCATGAACATACATGTACATCTGTATACACACACACACAAGATGGGTCAGCCTTTTTTTATATCAGCTCCGAACTTTTTTTTTGGGTCTTTTTAAAAAATATATTTATATTTTTTTTTCTCAGGCTGCAAACCTAAGTGTGGCCAGAAGAGTCCCCTCATACATAAAAGGCACCAAGATAAAGGAAGACAAGTTCAGTGGATATTAGACACCTCTGTATTACAGATGCAGCACCAGTATAAAGCATAGAGAAAATCTCCAAGTTCAACTAATCCTCCCAATCTCCATGCTTGTAAACCCTACTTAAAGAACTGAGAAGCAATCTGCTCCAAAACCTCATCCTTTGAAGTTACACTTTTATATTTTCTTTTTTATAAATTTATTATTTTTATTTTATGTGTATGAGTGTATTGCCTGCATGTATGTGAGTGTACCCGTGTCATGCAATGCCACGGAGGTCAGAAGAGGGATTCGGATTCCCCTGGAACTGGAGTTAAGGACGGTTTGTAGCCACCATGTGGGTGCTGGGAACCAAACCTGGGTCCTCTGCAAGAGCAATCAGTCCGCTCTTAACCACTGAACCATCTCTACAACCCCTTTTTTGGTCTTTTTGAGACAAGTTCTCCCTGTAGCCCCAGCTGACCTGGAACTCACTATGCAGACCAGGCTGGCCTTGAACTCACAGAAATCTTCCTGCCTCTATCTCCTGAATACTGGGATTAAAGGCATGTACCATCATGCCCGGCTCTTCAAAGGGCTTTAAAATACATATATATATAGCCGGGCGTGGTGGCGCATGCCTTTAATCCCATCACTTGGAAAACAGAGGCAGGTGGATCTTTGTGAGTTCAAGGCCAGCCTGCTCTACATAGTGAGTTCCAGGACAGTGGGGCTACAAGGAGACCCTGTCTCAAAAAAGACCCCCCCCCAAAAATATATATATATATAATTGTTATTATTTTATGTGAATGATTGTATTGTTGGCATGTGTGTAAGTACACCGTGTGGAGGTTAGAAGAGGGTGTCACATTCCCCTGCAACCTGAGTTATGGCGGTTGCTAGCTGCCATGTGGGTGCTGGGAATTGAGCTTGGGTCCTCTGCAAGAGCAGCCAGTGCTCTTAACTGCTGAACCATCTCCAGCACCCCTTGCCCCCCTTTTTTTTAAGACAAGGTCTCACTGTGTAGCCCTGACTGGCCCTAGAACTTCCTATGTACACCAGGCTGACCTTGAACTCATAGCAATTTGCCTCTGCCTTCCCAAGACTGGCATTAAAGGTGTGTACTACCACGCCTGGCCTCACAGGACCTTCTTTTACCCACCAAAGTCTCCCTATAGCCCCAGCTGATCCGGAGCTTACTGTGTAGACCAGGCTGGACCTAATATCACAGAGATCTGCCTGCCTCTGCCTCTCAAGCATTTTAATAAAGGTGTATGTCACCATACCCAGCAGAGGACTTTCTTTAAAGCAAAATTGAATTTATTATTTTCTCTGAATTGATGATAGAATACCAAGTTAAAGAAGTAGAGAAAGATTCCCAGATCTGTAGGCACAAGTACTACCTTGAGAATGGTGTTTGGTAAATTATTCAGCAAGTACAAAATCTTGAATATTGGGGGAAAATACTGAAATATTGGAATATAGAAAAGTATCAAGATGGACCTGACATTTTATTTTCGTGTGTGTGTGTGTGAATGCCACACCTATGGTACTGGTGTCAGAGGATAACCAGCAGAGTCGATTCTCTCCTTCCATCATGTGGCTCAAACTCAGGTTATCAAGTTTGGTGGTAGGCACCTTTACCTGCTAAGCCACCTAACTGGGCCCCAAGATTTTTTTAAACTTAATTTTATATTTTTTTTAAGAATTAAACATTATAGGGCTAGAGAGATAACTCAGCAGTGAAGAGAGCTGACTGCTTTCACAGAGGACCCAGATTTAGTTCCCAGAACCCACATTAAGATTTTTTAATTATTAATTTTAATATTTAATAAGATTTTTCTCCTATAGCTGGGTACAATGGTGCTTGCTTGTAATCCCAGCACTTAGGAGATTGAAGCAGGAGGATAACTTTGAGGTCAAGGCCAGCCTGGTCTACATAGAGCATTCCAGGCCAGCTGGGACTCTAGGGAGCTCTGTCTCAAAAAGACACCCCCTCCCCCAAAATCCCCCATCACTTGTTTGTGATGGAAAGTAAGCATTTGTTTACATCTAGCTTTTACTTGTTTTGGGGTTGTTTACAGGGTCATATTTAAGTAAGCCTGTTCAGAAGTTCATCTAGATATACAGAAAGGCTTATTGTAATTTATCCACTTAGAATATACATGCTGATATATATGTGAGCAATTAAATTTAATTTTTATTTAAATCTTTTATAGCAAAAAGAATAAAGACAAAATGATCTTTTAAAAAGGAAAAAACATTGTCTTTGTTTTTTGTTGTTTGTTTCGGGGGTGGATAGGGTCTTTTTTTTTTTTTTTTTTGAGACAGGGTATCCCAGCAGCCCCAGCTGACCTGGAACTCACTACATAGACTAAGTTGACCTGGAATTCACAGAGATCCTCTGCCTGCCTCTGGAGTTTTGGGACTAAAGGCATGTGCCACCACATCTAGCTTTGCCTTTGATACGTTGAAATCCTAGGTAATAGGGACTCCAATAATAGTTCCTTAGGTTATACTTCATCTACCTTCCCTCACACATGCACACAAAGAATAATATTAATAATAATAATAATAATTCCCTAAGACCTTTATGCATTAGTTTCAGTCAAGCCAGACTAACTTTGATCAACACTTTTCATACTTTTTTTTTGGTCTTTTTGAGACAGGGTCCCCCTGTAGCCCCAGCTGGCCTGGAACTCACTGTGTAGACCAGGTTGGTCTTGAACTCACAGAGATCCACCTGCCTCTGCCTCCTGAGTTCTGGAATTAAAGACATGGGCCACCACACCCTGTCTAACACTTCCTCCTTCTTTTTTATTTATTATTTTTATGTGCATGTGTGTATTGCCTGCATATAGATAAGTGCACCTGTGTCATGCAATGCCCGAGAAGGACAGAAGAGGCTGTTGGGTCCCCTGGAATTGGAGTTACAGACAGTTGTTAGCTGCCATGTGGGTGCTGGGATTCGAACCCAGGTCTTCTGTAAGAATAACCAGTGTTCTTAACCGCTGAGCTATCTCTCCAGCCCCAACACTTTCTACTTAAAATAAGGAGTTTTCATCTCTGGTCAGCGTGTTTCATCCTCTTGACCTTGTGGTCAGTGTTTCCAGTTCCTTGACACAATTTTCAGAGATACAAGAAAAGCTTCTAGTTAAGTTGGTGTTCTTCCACATACTCTTCTACATGGTAGTATTCTAGTTCCAGTGTGAGTGAGTCTCCCCAGTTCCTTAACGTGGCTGAGTCTTGGAGGAATGGGAAAGACGACACAGAACTAGGAAAGCAGTTGGAAGTTTGTACCTTGTTTCCATTCCCCTCGGTGCTGCAGTTTTTCCTAATACCCCTGAGAACATAGCCCTCACAGTATGGGCATGCTGGCAAAACAAAATGACAGCGTTGCACAGAATTCAAGATCGTGTGTGGCAGGAAGGTATAAATCATTTACTTCTTTAAAAACTAATTTTTGTGATTCATGGGAAAGAACATTGAAGTATATTGATAACATCAGAAACATTGTGTCTTCACTGACAGCGTGTTTTCTGTCTTGTACTGATACAGACTCCTGCCTCATCTCAGCACATACTTATTATTTCAGGTCCTGTGGGAATGGCTGCTGCAGCTGCTGTGGCCACAGGGAAGAAACGAAAACGGCCTCATGTGTTTGAGTCTAATCCTTCTATCCGAAAGAGACAGCAAACACGTTTACTTCGGTGAGGACTCCCCTACTCTGTCTTGCTATTCACATTCTTCCTATGTGGATGGCTGAGCTAGAAAATTAATTCCTAGGTTCCCCAAGACACTGGGTTGGAGTCCTTGATAACAGAGTTAGACTAGAAAACACTCCCACAAAATTAAATAGATGGAAATCTAATGTGATGTATAACATCACATTAATTCATTCAGAGGACGTTTATGTGCTTGCTGTATGCCAGGCAGCACTCTAGGCATTGGGAATACAACACTGAACAACAAGTCCCTTAAAGAACTTATATTGTGACAGAAGGAGAAAGAAAATAAGTGTATACTATGTTAGATGCTAGTACATGTCAGGGGAGAAAATGGAATAGGAAAAATACATGTCAGGAGGTGAGAGAACATAGCTCTATTTTAGGAATGATCTGGGAAATCCTTTTGGTAGGCATCATTTGAACAGAGCTGGGAAGAAGCGGAAGGTGACCATGTTTATGGCTAGGGGAAGAGCATTTCAGGCAGAGGGAATACTAAGAGCCAGAGTATAGTCATGCTAGAGAAAAAGCCATGGGGAGCAGGAGAGGAATAGTCAGATTAGTAGAGAAGAGCTTCATCAAGAGGTCTTTTGAGCTGGTGTGGTACTTCATGCCTGTAATCCCAACATTTTGGATGCTGAGGCAGGATTGTGACCAGCCTGTGCTACTAGTTAGTTTCAAGCCAGCTTGGGCTATAAGGCTCCATCTCAAAAAGCTGCCCATTCTCCTACCACCACCAAGAAAAGGCATATACACAAATTTTAAGTCCTCTAAAAACTAAAAAAATACTCAGCCAGGTATGGTGGCATACGGCTGTACTCCCAATACCGAGGAGGCCCAGGCAGAAGAATCATGAATTAAAAGTCCAGCCTCAGCTACATGGCAAGTTCAAGACCAGTCTGGGCTACATGGTGTGAGACCCTATTTCAAAAAACTAAAAGAAAAAAAAGCAACCAGAATCCACCAAGCAGCAGCAATAGCAGCAGCAGCAGCAGCAGCAGCAGCAGCAAGAAAGATATTATGTTCTGATATCAGAGTTTGTTCCTTTGAGTGAAGTAGAGATCAGTGAAGGCTTTTGCCCCAGCAGTGATACAATCTGACTTATGTGTTTAAAGTGTCAGTCTAGCTACTGACTTAAGATTCCAGGGTTACAAGAATGTAAACAGCAGTCAAGAGATTATTGTAGTAGTTCAGGTCAGAGATGAGAGCATTTAAAATCTAGTGTGGCAGCAGCACAGCTTATAAGAAAGAAGTGGTTAAGTTCTGGGTGGATTTTAGAAGTCAACTCAGCATGTTTCCTCATGGATCAGATCCAGAGACAGAAAAAATAGTGAGGAATAACCTCAAGATTTGTAGTCTGATTACTAGAAAGACAGAAACTAGAAACTGTTGGAGGAAGAACAATAGCAGTGGAGGCAGGCAGAATCAGGGAGGACTTTGAGTGGGGCATGTTAAGTGTTATGCCCTTTAGCCATTACATGGTAATATAGAATAAGCAGCTGGGCATATGAGTCTGGGTTCAAATGTTCTTGTTGGGGCTGGAAAGATGGCTCAGTGGTTAAGAGTACTGGTTACTCTTGCAGAGGACCTGGATTCAATTCCCAGCACCTACATGGTGACTAACAGCCACCTGAAACTGCAGTTCCAGGGAATCTGACACCCCTTCTGACCTCCTCAGGCATTGCATGACTTGGGTATGCCTGCCCACACGCAGGCAATATGCTCATACACATAAAATAAAAATAATAAAGAAAATATTTTTAAAAAATTTTAAGTTCTTGTTAATAGTATAACAGTCATATAAATAATATTGAAGACTCACGATTGGGTGAGGTCACTTAGGGAGCAATGTGTACTGACGTCTGACCCACTCCACCCTTTGGAGGTTGGGGAGATGAAGAGAACTAGCAGATGAGTCTAGGAAGCAACCGATGAGTCAGGAAGAAAATCCTAGAGACTGCGTCCTAGAGACAAATACAAAAGCTATTTCTAAAGGGGGTCATGATCAGTTCTGTCAGATGCTGCCTACAGGTTATATCATTGCAAATTCAGCACTAGATTTAGCAAATGGAAGCCATGAATAAATTGGACAAAGGTGTTTTCTGTTTTTATTTAACTTATTTAAATTTAATTTATTTAATTTATTTATTTATTTGAGACAGGGTCTCCCAGTAACCTAAGCTGACTCACTATGTAGACTAGGTTAGCCTTGATCCATCTGCCTCTGCCTCCTGAGTGCTGGGATTAAAGGCATGTGCCATCACCCCTAGCTAATATATAGGGTGTCATACTATCCTAAGTCATAGGCCTCCAGTGATCTTGGAGCAGACTCCACAGAAAGCCCGACCACTGTATCTGCAAAACCTCCTCCCATTTCAGTCTCATTTGTAAGCACTGGGTCTGTGGTCCTAGTTTCTTTTCTGTTGCTGTGCTAAGACACTCTGACCAAAAGCAACTTGGGAGGAAAGGGTTTATTTGACTTACACTTCTATTTCACAGCCCATCATTGAAGGAACTCAGGGCAGGAACTTGAAGCAGAAGCCATTGAGGAACACTGCCTGCTGTCTGATGCTTCGTTAGCTTTCTTTCTTCCTTTCTTTCTTTCTTTCTTTCTTTCTTTCTTTCTTTCTTTCTTTCTTTCTTTCTTTCTTTCTTTCTTTCCTTCCTTCCTTCCTTCCTTCCATCCATCCATCCATCCATCCATCCATCCATCCATCCATCCATCTGTTGTATGTTTGCTTGGTTGGTTGATTGGTTTTGATTTTCTGAGACAGAGTCTCATGTATAGTCCTTGCTGGCCTGGAAATTGCTATGTAGACCATACTGGCCTCAAATTTAGAGATCTTCCTGCTTTTGCCTCCTGAGTATTGGGATTAAAGGCATGTGCCCCCACACCCAGCTTTTTTCAAGATTTTTTTTTTAGGGGCTAGAGAGATGGCTCAATGATTAAGAGCACAGGCTATTCTCCAGAGGACCTGTGTTCTGTTCCTAGCATCCACATTGGTGGCCAATACCCACCAGTAACTCCAGTTCTAGGGTATCTGACACCCTTTTCTGGCCTCCATGAGCATTGCATGCATGGGTGCACTTACATGCATGTGGGCAAAACACTCATAAACATAAAAATAAATCAGTCAGGCGTGGCGGCACACGCCTTTGAATATTTTACATTTAAATTTTACATTTTACATTTTTTGTGCATTCATTAAAGAAAATCCTTTCTGGAAAAAAAGGGGAGATAAACAAATCTGGCTTCTAACCATCTTCTAGTTACAAGTTTTCAGGAATTTGATAATTCCGTAGTGTTTTTCTGGTCTTTTTGAGACAGGGTCTCCCTGTAGCCCCAGCTGTTGCTGGAACTCACTATGTAGACCAGGCTGGCCTTGAACTCACAGAGATCTGCCTGCCTCTGCCTCCCTTGTGCTGGGACTAAAGGCGTGTGCCATCACGCCCGGCTCCTTTTATTATTTTTTATGTGTATGAGTATATTGCCTACATGTATGTAAATGCACCTGTGTTATGCAATGCCCGTGGAGGTCAGAAGAGGGCATCGGATCCCTTGTGATGGTAATTGCTGAGAGCCATTTCTCCAGCCCCCTTAGCTAGCTTTTTCTTTGGGGCGGGGGGTGGGGGGTCTTGGTCTCCCTGTAGCCCCAGCTGGCCTGGAACTCATGGAGTTCCACCTGCCTCTGCTTCCTCTGCTGGAATTAAAGGTGTACGCCACCACTCCTGGCTTAGCTATCTTTCTTATACAGTCCAAGACTACCTGTCTAGAAGATGGTGCCACTCACAAGGGGCTAACATCAATTAGCAATCAAGATGATCCCCCTCCTATATGGTCTCAGGCCAATCTGATATGGGAAATCCCTCAGTTGAGACTTCCATCTCAGGTGATTCTAAGCTACTTCAAGTTTACAGTAAATGCTAAGACAGTCTTTCTATATCAGAGTAAAATGAGGCACAGCTAGACATGGTAGTGCCCATCTGTAATCCTAGCAAATGAGAGGTAGAGACAGGAAGATCAGGAGTTTAAGGCCTGCCTGGGCTACATTATTGAGCTTGAAGCCAGCCTGAGCTACATGAGAGACCCTGTCTCAAAAACAAAATTAAAGGCCTGCTGTGATAGTACACGCCTTAAACCCAGCACAAGGAGGCAGAGGCTAGCAGATCTCTGTGAGTTCAAGGCTACCCTGTCTACAGAGCAAGTTTCGGGCCAGCTGAAGCTACGGGGAGACCCTGTTTCAAAAAGACAAAAAAAGAAGAAAAATCTATACACACATTTTTTAAACATCTACTTATTTACTGTGTGAGTTCGTATATATATGTGTGTGTGCATCTATGCCATGGAACATTTGTGGAGATCAGAAGACAGCTTTCATGAGTTAGTTCTCTCCTTTCACCACATGGGTCCCAGGGCTCAAACTCAGATCCTCAGGCTTGGCTGCAAGCATCTTTACCACTGAGCCATCTTACCAACCCCTAACATTTTAAAAAATACTATTTTTTGATAAAATTGTGTGAAATAATTAATGGCTATATCAATAAAAGAAATTAAGAGCATGCCACTTTGGGCCTCTTGGTTAATCATGGAGATACGACATAAGTAACAATATTTGGTATTGATAAGATCAGGAGGGTGGATACTTACTGTATTAGAAATAGACCTGTGGTGTCCCAAGGCATAAGCCCCACTACAGCCCTGTGTTCGATGGACTTAAGATATGTATGCTGACAGAATTTCATACTTCACACTTCTTTCCTTTTTTATATTTTGGGTCAAAGAACATATCTGATCAGAATTGTCTCAAATCTTGGTGAGTTTGATCTGTGTCAGTGTCACATATTTTCTATCATCCTGTAACTTTATTCTCTTTATTCTGATCCAGGAAGCTCAGAGCCACATTAGATGAATATACTACTCGAGTGGGACAGCAAGCCATTGTTCTCTGCATCTCGCCCTCCAAACCCAACCCGGTCTTTAAGGTGTTTGGCGCAGCACCTCTGGAGAATGTGGTAAGCCATGTCTAAGTTGTGCTCAAGGATGCCCTTTGCTTTCTGTAGGTTTTTGCCTTTTCCTCTTTCCAGTTCAGATGTCAGCATTTCTTTTTATTTCCATTTATTCAGGGGTGGAAGATGGCGACTGGTTTTTAAACTACTTTATGCAGATCAAAACAAAAAAGATCAACCCCCTGGCAATGGGCAGAGACATCTCACTGGTGGTGGTGTTCTTTTATCAGTCAGGGGCAGAGCAGATGCTAGTCCTTTGTTCATCCTAACTCGATGCCTGGCTTAGGGGCCAAAGCTGTTTGATACCTAGGGTACAGAAAATAAAGAATAAGCTTTTTTAAAAATTAAAGAATCATTACTGTTTCTACTTCCATAGCAAGGTATTATACTATACCAGGTACATCAGGGGGGAAAAAAGGCAGTATTTTTTTGCGTTAAGAAACCAATGCAAAGTTGGAGGTGGTGGTACACGCATGCATGCACGCCTTTAGTCCCAGCACTTGGGATGCAGAGGCAGATCTCTGTGAGTTCAAGACCAGCCTGGTCTACATAGTGAGTTCTGGGCCAGCTGGGGCTACAGGGAGACCTTGTCTCAAAAAGAACGAAGGAAAAAAAAAACCAAAAAAACAATGCAAGCTGGGAATGGTAGCCCATGCTTTTAATCCCAGCACTCAGGAGGCAGAGACAGGTGGATCTCTGAGATTTATGTCTGAAACAAAATGCTACATGATTCCGGAATGTTAATCTTTTGAGGCAAACTTAGAAGATCAGATATTTTTTGGGTGTATTTTTAAATTTTTTAAAAATATTTATTTTGGGGTTGGGGATTTAGCTCAGTGGTAGAGCGCTTGTCTAGCAAGCGCAAGGCCCTGGGTTCAGTTCTCAGCTCCGAAGGAAAAAAAAAAGACAAAAAATAAATTTTATTTTTATGTATATGAGTGTTTTGCGTGCATGTATGAAAGTGCATGATGTGCATGCAATGCCCATGCAGGCCAGAAGAAAACATCCTGTTCTGTGGAACTGGAAGCTAGCTGTCTTGTGGGTGCTGGAAACTAAATCAGGGACCTCTGAAAGAGCAGGTGTACTTAGCCACTGAGCCATCTCTCTAGCCCCTGAGTATATGTTTAAAAAATCTCTTTTGCGTTGGCCCAGATGTGTTGACATACACCTTTAATCCCTACACTTGGGAGGCATAAGTAGCTGGATCTCTGAATTTGGGGACAGGTTGGTCTACTCATAGTGAGTCCAGACCAGCCAGAACTACATACCAAGACCCTATCTTTTAAAAAATCATTTTTGGGGAACTGGAGAGATGGCTCAGTGGTTAAGAGCACTGACTGCTCTTGCAGAGGACCTGGCTTCGATTCCCAGCATCTACATAGTGGTTAACCATCCGTAGCTCCAGTTCTAGGGGATCTGATACCCTCTTCTGACTTCTGTGGTCATTTTATGACATGGGTACACTTACATGCAGGAAATGCACTTACATACATAAAATATAAATAAAATATTAAAAAAAAAATCACTTTGGGCATTTTTCAGAAATGTTGGTTTAACACTCTGCTTCGATTCCATAATATAGTTGAATATTTTGATTATAATACATAATTTTCTAAAAAATAGTATTTTTGCTATTGTACACTTATACCTCATTCTGTGACTAAAATAACTGTATCATAAGTACAAGAGTGATCTGCTAAGATTGAAATTGCAGCTATACATGCCTGCAATCCCAGCCCTTAGGGAGTAGAGGCAGGAAAATTGCAATTGTAAGGTTAGCATGAGCTACACAGTGAGATCCTGTCTAAAAAAAACTGAAAGTGAAGAAAAACAAGAAGATTTAAATTGTATTTTGGTGGCTGGAGAGATGGCTCAGCTGTTAAGAACACTGACTGTTCTTGCAGAAGACCCAGGTTTGAATCCCAGCACCCACATGGCAACTAACAACTGTCCGTAACTCCAGTCCCAGGGGATCCGACAGCCTCTTCTGACCTCAGGCATTGCACAACATGGGTGCACTTACCTACATACAGACAATACATGCATACACATAAAACTGAAAAAAATCAATAGCCGGGCATGGTGGCTCACGCCTTTAATCCCAGCACTCGGGTGGCAAAGGCAGGCGGATCTCTGTGAGTTCGAGGCCAGCCTGGTCTCCATAGTGAGTTCAGGTCAGCTGGGACTATAGGGAGACCCTGTCTCAAAAAGACAGAAAAAAAAAAGAATGACATGTGGCCCATAATGTGGTCCAGGCATGGTGGCACACACCTTTAATTCCAGCATTCAGGAGGCAAAAGCAGGCAGGTCTGTCAGTTCTAAGCCAGTCTGGCCTACATAGCAAATTCCAGGTTAGCCAAAGTTACATAGGGAGACCCTGTCTCAGAATAAATATAATAATGATAATAATAATAATAATAATGTGATCTTATGAATAGAAGTTACATGAAGAGGACCAACAAGATGGCTCATCAGGGAAAGGTGCTTGTTATGCAAGCCTGATTACCTGAGTTCAATTTCTGGAACCCACATAAAGGTGAAAGGAAAGAACTAACTCCACAAAGTTGTCCTATGACCTCTGTGTATTCACACACATCACAGACACACAACAATAATAATAAATAAGCAAATCAATATTTTTTAAAAGGAGTTACGTGGAGAACCTAGACAAATATTCTAAAGTTACTCATTGAAAAATACAAATAAAAATTTGGGGAAGTTAAAGTTGTTTCATCCTGGGAATGCCTTCTACTACAAATGGAAATCTTATCTGACCTTGTAACCAAAGTTAATCTTATGTTTTGACATCATTTAACACTCTGAGCTTATTTACAGTGTAAATAATCTTTTTCTTAAAAGATATTAATTGGGGCTGGACAGAGGGCTCAGCAGTTAAGAGAACTGACTCTTTTGCAGAGGACCCGGGTTTGATTCCCAGCACCCACATGGTGGCTACAAACCATCCTTAACTCCAGTTCCAGAGGAATCCAAAGCCCTCTTCTGACCTCTGCTGCATTGCACGACACGGGTGCACTCACATACATGCAGGCAATACACTCATAGACATAAAATAAAAATAGTAAATAAAATATATTTTTTAATTTATTTAATGTATACAAGTATGTTGCCTGCATGTGGGTGAGTGCACCCGTGTTGTACAGTGCCTGAGGAGGTCAGAAGAGGGTGTTGGATCCCCTGGAACTGGAGTTAAGGACGTCCTGAACTGCCATGTTTTTTTCTGGGAATCGAACCAGGGTCCTCTGTAAGATCAGTCAGTGCTCTTAACTACTGAGCCATCTCACCAGCCCCCAGTGTAAACAATCTTAATAGGCCTTGGGCTCATCTTGTAAGATTTAATCCCTCATGACCCATTCTTGCCACTGACAGAATAGTGTATATTTGTGTGAATGTTGTGAAAATATCAGTGCTGAAAGCAACAAATTATCCTCAGTTTATATTGCACACAACAGGTGGGAGAAGATCATAATAGCTGTTTGTAGTTGTGTATGCTGTTCTGGGTCAATGGGTGGGGGTCAGAAAGGAAAAATCCTTCCCTGATACACAGGTCCTCTTTTCCCATATTATGCTGGATGCAGTGTTCAGTAAATACAGAGCAAGTCTTTTGTTTGCAAGAACAGCTCCAAGAGACCTCAGAAGAACAAGTTCTGAGAACAGATTAGGCTCACTATTGATTTTTGTTTCTTGACCTGGAACTCACTATGTAGACCAGGCTGGCCTTGAACTCACAAAGATCTTCCTGTCTCTGCCTCCCTAGTCCTGGGACTACAGGCTTGCACAACCACGCTCAGCTCACTCTTAATTTTAAGCAATGCCAAAAGACTGTCTTTTTTCAGGCACCACTGTATTATAGCATCTTTCCACCACATTTTTTGTTGTTTTTGTTTTTTGAGACAGTGTCTCACTGTGTACCTCTGACTGACCTTGAACTTGAGATGTAGACCAGGTTGGGTTTGGACTTACAGAGCTCCACCAGCCTCTGCCTCCTAAGCACTGGGATTAAAGGCGTGTACTGCCACACTAGGCTCTGCCACTTTAAAATTTTTTTATGTCCCATGAGTGTTATGCCTGCATGCATGTAAGTGCACCTGTGTTATGCAGTGCCTGTGGAGAACAGAAGAGGGTGTTGGATCCCTTGGAACTGGAGTTACAGATGGTTGTTAGCCACCATGTGGTTGCAGGGATTCGAACCTGGATCCTCTGCAAGAACAGCCACTGTTCTTAATGGCTGAGACATCCCTTCAGCATACTTAATAAAACCTTTTTGTATTAGAAACCAGTATAAAACTGAACTAGTAGAGTCATAATGAATCTAAAAGAAGTTTGTGTGTTTTTCTTCATCCCTTTAGTTGGAGGATTCTACAGCTGCGGAAGTTGGACTGGTTACTTTTCTGGGTGCATGGAGTGGTGTATGGGGGGTCTTCCCTTTTTGAGCCTCACAATGAGATGCCACATTTTTAGTCATACTTAGCTCTAGTTTGTAATTAGATACTCATCTTTGTAATTACTTTTGTTTTATAACTTGACTATTTGTCAGTGTTCCTTATGACATCTCCTTTTAAATATTTTATTTGGGACAAAGACAGTCAACTTTAATTAATTTCTACTGCTTCCCAGTGAGGAAGATATTGTTATCCTTATTTTACTCATTTTCCCACATGTGCCTGGAATAGCACAGCTATTGGAACTGTGACCCGTAATTTGTTCACCATTTCCCCCAGCCCTTCCTTAGCATAGTGCCTAGCATACACTGGAAGGGCTGGAGAGATGGCCTAGGGGTTAGGAGCACTGGCTGCTCTTGCAAAAGTCCTAAGTTCAATTCTCAGCACCTACAAGGGCTAACAACCATCTGTAACTCCAGTTCCAGGGGATCCAGTGCCCTCTTCTGACCTCTGAGGACATTACAGGACACAGGTACACTTAAACACATGCAGGCAATACACTCATACACATAAAATAAAAATAATTAATTTTTTTAAAAAAGAGAAGGCTGGGCGTGGTGGCACACGCCTGTAGTCCCAGCACTTGGGAGGCAGAGGCAGACCGATCTCTGGGAGTTCATGGCCAGCCTGGTCTCCAGGGTGACCCTGTCTCAAACGGACAAAAAAAAAAAAAAAAAAAAAAAAAAAAAGAGACAGAATTAAAGACCCAGAACCCAGAAAAGCAGAGCAAAGCAAAGCATAGTGAGAGCTGACCCCCCCCTTTTTTTTTGAGACAGGGTCTCCCTGTAGCCCCAGCTGCTCTGGAACTCACTGTGTAGACCAGGCTGGCCTCGAACTCAGAGATCCTCCTGCCCCTGTCTCCCAAGCACTGGGACTAAAGGCGTGCGCCACCACACCCAACAGCACACACCTTTAATCCTAGCACTCAGGAGGCAGAGGCAGAGGCAGAGGCAGAGAGGCAGGCAGATCTCTGTGAGATAGAGGCCAACCTGATCCACATAGCTACTTCCAGGCCAGCTGGTGCTACAGAGAGACCTTGTCTCAACAACAGCAAAATGAAAAAGCAGAAAAGACCCAGAAGCAGAAAAGGTTTTGCTAGATGCAACGGCTGATAGGAGACTGACCACTTAAAGTAGGAGGAAGGTGAATGGAGTGACCTATGCAGTTTTAAGATATAATGCAATTTTAGAGGACTGAACATTGGGGCCAGATGCTTAGGGTGGGGAATGCATCTCAGAATTGAGAGATCTGGTAGAGTTGAAACATCAGCTTTTTGTGTTTTGAGACAGGGTCTCATTCCTAGTACTGACTGGTCTGGAACTCAATAAGGAGACCAGGCTGGCCTTGAACTCAAAGAGATCCATCAGCCTGTGCCTCTGTAGTACAGGAATTAAAAGTATGTGCCACCACATCCAGCTGAAACACCAGCTTTATAATTCTGGGCAATCTACTACCGCATGCTTAAGTAGAACTACTGGGCTCACCTGAAATTGTCTGGGCTCACCTGAAATTGTTCTATAGCAAATTACTATGAAGCATGCTCTACCAGCAGGTTTTTAAAATTAAGATATCACTAAGGAATTATATAGCACTGATAAGTATTTTTTTAAATATTTTATTTATTATTTTTATTTTAGTGCACCCGTGTTGTGCAATGCCGTGGAGGTCAGAAGAGGGCGTCAGATTTCCCTGGAACTGGAGTTGAGGATGGTTTGTAGCTGCCATGTGGGTGCTGGGAATCAAACCCAGGTCCTCTACAAGAGCAGTCAGTGCTCTTAACCGCTGAGCCATCTCTCTAGCCCTAGCACTGATAAGTTTCAAAAAATACCAGGATATGAACTCTTGGAATTTTACTGTCTTTGACTGTTAGGTATTACCAGCATAATGAAATGTGTTTTTATGATTGTCATTCATTCTTACTAATAGCTTACACCTAAGAATTCAACTCAGTTCATTAAAGACCAGAACCCAGAAGCATAAAAATTCAGAATATAGGAAGTAGAAGCCTATAGAATTGCCTTGGCAACACTAGATGCTCATGTTACAATAAACATGCTGGCAGGGCTAGAGAGATGACTCAGTGGTTAAGAGCACAGGCTGCTTTTGCAGAGGACCCAGCACCCACATGGTAGCTAACAATTGTCTGTAACTTTAGTTCCAGGACATCTTACACCTTCTTCTGTCCTCTGAGGGCATTGTACAACACAGGTGCACTCATACATATAAAATAAAATTAATAAATTTTAAAAAATAGACTGGCAGTAGTCTTTTAAACTTTTTGCATTATGGGTCTGGAGAAGTGGCTCAGTGGTTAAGAGCACTGGCTGCTCTTGCAGGGGACCCAGGTTTGGTTCCCAGCACACACATGCCAGCCAACAACTGTCTATAACTCCAGTTCTAGAAGATCTGAAACCCTCTTCTTACCTCCTTGGGCATTGCACAACTTGGGTGCATTTACACACATGCAAGCAGTACACTCATACACATAAAATAAAATAAATATGATAAATAAAATATTAAAACCTTTTTGTATTAGAAACCAGTATAAAACTGAACTAGTAGAGTCATAGTGAATCTAGAAGTTTGTGTTTTTCTTCATCTCTTTAGTTGGAGGATTCTATAGCTGTAGAAGTTGGACTGGTTATTTTTCTGAGTATGGAGTGGGGTATGGGGGTCTTCCCTTCTTGAGCCTCAATGAGATGCCAGTGAGGAAGTAAGACCACTTAGCAGAAAGCCAGGCTCACACCTTGTTGGAACTTTCTGGCAACATTCATTTTCTCTTCCTTTTTTTTTTTTTTTTTTTTTCTAAGATAATGCCTTAAAGCCTGAGAGCAAATTGATTTCCCATCCCATCTTGTTGCATTTCCATAATTCCATGGCTTTATTATCCCCAGAGGCATCCACATCTCCATTGTGTATTCTAAGTGAATGAGCCCATTTTTGGTGATTGTAGGATCCAGCGTCCACCTCCTCCTGCTCATGATAGAAAAATGTGTGCATGTGCTCTGTGCTCTGTGCTGCTGCTGCTGCTGGACAGCTCTTGTCCTGAGAGACCTTTCACTCAATGGTGAAGAATAGAATCAAGGAACTACACTGTCTGATTCAGACCTGTGTTAGCATTTAGAAAAGCATCTTGGCTTTGAAGGTCACCTCTGTCCCAAGGGATTACCTGAAGGAAGGCGCATGCAACCAGTGGATTCTCTGGCTCAGGCCCTCCTGCTAATGGCATTTTCAGCAGTCAGATACATTTGATATCTCTTGTTTTGTCTGATTCTTTCCCATCTAGCCTCTTAACGCACTTGAATCTCCTGTCTGTGTGATACCTGGCTTTGCCAAAAAGTAGCAATTGTTTGAAATATGTTAGCATTTAGAAATAGTCCTTGGATCTTGAAAAGGATTTTGACAGTTAGCTGCCACATTTAGATGTGACCTGGGACACAACTGGCCTGGGAAGTGCAGAGTAATGAATACCATTCTTGTTAGATTGGAAACAGGACAGTTCTCTGTTGATAGAGAAAACAGGATTTTTAACCAAGAAACAGTATTTCTATAAAACTTTCCCCACTGACGACTTTTCACTGTTGTTACCTATAATTTCAGCATCTTTTCCTTTAATTCTGTCAGTCTGATGTCTTTGAGGCCAGCAAGTATTTTTACCAGCTACCTGCAGGAGTGTTTGTTCTCAGGGCTCTGCAGTGGTTCAAGGAGACCAGCCCCACCCACTCTCTTGTTGCTTGGCACCAGTCCTCCTTGCTTGTTGAGCATCTTGTTTACTTCTGCCCTCAATTCCCTGCAGGTGCGAAAGTACAAGAGCATGATCCTGGAAGACCTGGAGTCTGCTCTGGCAGAACACGCCCCTGCGCCACAGGAGGTTAATTCAGAACTGCCACCTCTCACCATCGATGGGATTCCAGTCTCTGTGGACAAAATGACCCAGGTATGGGGCGGGAAGTGAAGAGGAGATGCAAAGGCAGGAGGTGCTGGTGTGGGAGGGCCTCTCATCACTTCTTAGCTTTGTCCTTGGTGATGTGGACTGACATGTGATGGTGAGGCAGTGGCAGCCTTGGAGAAAATGGTGCCAGGAGAAGCTTCCTGGCGAGGTGAATGCATATGTGCTCCTCTCTGCTGACAGTCTTTCCTGACACTTTGTATTAGATAAGGGGCCTTTGTATTAGATAAGGAAACTTTCTACTTGAGGTTAGTTTGAACTGGGGACCATTTAGAAGTCTGAGGCATCACAGTCAAGGCAGAAAGTTCCATCTCTGGTGGAGCCGCTCCTCTGCATGTAATTCTCCGTCGCACCATGTTATTGTCAAGCAAAGCTGCTTCTCCAGAAATTAAAAACAAAACTTAGCAGGGCACTTCTGAGTTATTCATTCCCTCCCTCTTCCTCTGAGAAGTCACATGAATCAGCATGCCTGGGTGCTGGCTCCTTTTATGGTTCTCTTGTTTAAAAGTGATAACATGATCAAAGACCAAACACTTTCTAACATGTTTTCCCACTGTATTTATCAATGTACTTCTAGCTTGCTAAATCCAGTTATTTTTTTCCCCTTAATTTTATTCAGCATTGCAGTATTTAATATTACCAGCCCCCCCCCCGCCCCGTGTTTTTGGTGAGTCTTACTATATAATCCTGGTTTGCCTGATAAATTTTTGATTTATCTCACCCTACTCCTGTTTTTATGGAGGGTGGGCAGATAGATAAGGGGATATAGACTGAGTTCTAGCTAGTATTCTTATTAGGTACCTATAGTGTTTTAGGTTTTGTTTTGCTTTGTTCTTTTTGAGACAGTCTCCCTCTAACCCCAACTGGCCTAGAATTTGTTATGTAGACTAGGCTAGCCTTGACTGCACAGAGATCTGCATACATCTGCCTCCTGAGTGCTGGGATTAAAGGGGTGTGCCATCATGCCCAGCTTTTTTTTTGCTTATTTTGTTTTAATTTATATGTATGTGTCTGTGTAAACGGATGCCACATGTGTGGGCCCTCGGAGGCCAGTAGAGGGAGTGGGTATATCCACTGGAGCTGGAGTTACAGTCTATTGTAACCCACCTGATGTGGTGAGTTTGATTTTGGTAGAAATGAAACTCAGGTCCTCTGGAAGAGCAGCAAGTGTTCTTAACTACTGAGCCATCACTCTAGCTTCAGGTACCTACAGTTTTCATTTAATCACTAAAAATACTACACAGTTGTGTGAGTGGGTTTTTGTTTTAAAACCACCCTACATAAAGATTAGAAGATGGGCTGGCAAAATGGCTCAGCAGTTAAGAATGAAAACTCTTCTTCTAGAGGACCTGAGTTCAATTCTTAGTACCCATGCTGGTGGCCCACAATTGCCTATAACTCCAGCCAGAGAGCTGCATTGTTTCTTGAAGAATATTTAAGCAGTAATTATGCGGCCAGCAAGATGACTCTGTGGGTTAGAGTGACTTGAGTTTAATTTCTAGAACCCACATGGAGAGAACCAACTCCCATAAGTTGTCCTCTGATCCTTCCGCATTAAATAAATACAGAAATATAGAACTATAAACAAATAAATGTTTGAAAAAAAAGAAAGAAAAGAAAATGGCTGGATAGATGGCTCAAGGGTTAAGAGCACTGGCTCCAGAGGACCCAAGTTCGATTCCCAACATCCACAAGGCAACCAGCAACTATCTGTAACTCCAGTTCTAGGGGATCTGATCCCTCTTCTGGCCTACACAGGCCTTGCATGACACAGGTGCATTTTCATATATGCAGGCACAACACTCATACACATAAACTAAAAATAAGTAAATTTAAAAAATTAAACATAAATAAGGTTTTTTTTCTGTCTTTTTGAGATAGGGTTTCCCTGTAACCCTAGCTGGCTTGGAACTCGCTATGGAGAGCAGGCTGGCCTTAATTGCACAGAGGTCCTGCCTGCCTCTGCATCCTGAGTGCTGGGAATAAATGTGTGGCTGCCACACCCAGCTAATGATTGAGAATTTGATGGTAGAAAGTCAGTTCTCTTTCCACAGTCTCATGTTTTTGGGAGGTTGTAAATCTTTGGGAGAGATCTATTCAGAGACACAGACAGAGATTGTGTTATAGAAGAATCACCTCTAAAAAGACCTGCCCAGTATTACTATTTGAAATCTGCTCCTCATTCCCTTGTCTCTGCCCTCCACCCTTTGAACTCTACTCTCACTGGGGCAGTCTTTGTTGCTCTAATAGTCCCTTGGAGCAATGATGCAATAGGGCAGTAATTCTTCACTAGTTCCAAGAAAGCCTTCTGAATCATCTGCACAGGTCGCTGCTTTGTTAGGAAGAAGTTAGTCACAGAGTTTGACATGTTCTACTTAGAAAACATTCGATGTGTTGTCAGTTTGGATTTTTGAGGGTTTTATTTTGTTTTGACAAAGCATAGATTTGGTCTTTTCTACACAAAGAACAAAAACCATTTTTGCTAAATAAGATAGACATGAAAGGAAAATAGCACATGATCTCATGTATGGGAGGTGTTCTCTGATAGGTAAAATCACAGAGAAAGGTGCTAAAGTTAGAGGTTCTAGGGAATGGGGAGTAGAAATGTACTCACTGTTTTCACAAATAGAGTTTTGGGGGTGATAGCAAATAAAATTCTGGAAATAGTGGTGTTGATCATACAACATTGTGAATTTACATAATGTTACCGGAATTGTGCATGTCACATAGTAAACTTTATTATGTATTTATCACAGTAAAATGATGGGATGGGGCTGGAGAGATGGCTCAGCAGTTAAGAACACTGACTGTTCTTGCAGAAGACCCGGGTTTGAATCCCAGCACCCACATGGCAGCTAACAGTTGTCTGTAACTCCAGTTCCAGGGGATCCGACAGACCCTTCTGTCCTCCGTGGGCATTGCACAATATGGGTGCACTTACTTACATGCAGGTATAACACTCATAACACATAAAACAAAAATAATAAATAAAATATTTTTTTAAAAAAGGCTGTGGGGCTGGAGAGATGGCTCAGCAGTTAAGAGCACTAGCTGTTCTTGTAGAGGATGGGTTTCAATTCCCAGCACTCACATGGTGACTAGCACCCATCCATAACTCCAGTTCCAGGAGATCTGACACCGTTTTCTGACCTCCAAGGGTACTGTATGACACGGGTTCACCTACCTATGTGCAGGCAATACATTCATATACATAAAATAAAAAGAATAAACAAAATATTAAACAACAAAAAGCTGGATAAAATCTTTTTTAGTGGTTTCAAAGTTGGCTGTACATCAAATCACCTAGGGAATTTAAAATCTTAATGCATGGGCCACACTCCACACCAGGAAAGTTAGAATCTTTGGGGATGGAATTCAAGGAGCTGTGGTTTTTTTAATTCCTCGGGTTTTGTATTGGTACAGTACACCCCCCACCCACAGGAGGCAGGTCATACGACCCTAATTGCCCTTGAATGCACTATGCACTATATAGCTGGGACTGGCCCAGAACTCCTGACCCTCTTGCCTCTGCTTGGATTATAGATAATGTGCCATTCCACCCCAGCTGTTCTACCAAGCATGAGGTCTATATGGCAAAATGCTGGGTGGAAGAAGCAAGTTGTAAAATATGTACAGTATGGCACCATTTAGTTTTTCTTTAATAACATGAAACTGGGGTCTGCAGAGATAACTCAGTGGTTAAGAGCACTGACTGCTCTTGCAGAGGATCCAAGTTTGATTCCCAGCACCCACATGGTGGCTATGAACTGTCCTTAACTCCAGTTCCAGGGGAATCTGATGCCCTCTTCTGATCTCTGTGGCATTGCATAACAGGGTACACTCATATACATGCAGGCAATACACTCATACACATAAAATTAAAAATAAATAAAATAAATAACAGGAAACTGCCTTTCTAACATATGTTTGTATAAATGGGTGGAACTTGGCGTACAGGGAAGATTGGTCATCCAGCTAAGAACTCTGGACAGAAACTGGACAGGGGTGCTGCAGAGGGCACAGGAGTCTCTGCTTTCGTTCAGGTGATTTTATATATATATATTTGTACAAAAAAAGTAAACTGCTGGGCGTGGTGGCACACGCCTTTAATCCCAGCCTCCAGGAAGCAGAAGCAGGCAGATCTCTGTAAGTTCAAGGCCAGCCTAGTCTACATAGTTTGTTCCAGGCCAGTTGGGGCTATAGGAAGACCCTGCCTCAAAAAGACAAAAAAAAAAAAAAGAAAAAGAAACCAGTATAAGCCAATAGAGTCTGACTAATGTGAGGCCCGTGCAAAGAGAAGGCAAGACTTCAGGGCAACACCTTGAGAGGGTCCTGAGGTTTGAGGGTGAGAAACAGGAGTTAGGCTGGAGAGAAGGCTGAAATCTCTGAACAGAGTTGGTAATACAAATAAATTGAGATAACAAGCAAGGAAATCATTGGGCTTCAGTTCTTTAAATATATACTTAGATATAACTGATCTAGCAACCTGAAATTCAGCATTTCAAATTAAAATAATAACACTGGCCCTGGGAGAGGGCTTGTAGAAGGGGAACGGGTAGAGGGCTTGCCACACAAGTATGAGGACCTAAGTTCAAATCCCTAGAACCCATATAAAGCCAGGCACACCTGTAATTCCAGCCCTCCTACAGTAAGATTGGAGGCAGACAGGAGAATCCCCAGAACTTCATAGGCCAGCTTGCCTGGCATATGCAACAGTGAACAACAAAAGTAGAAGGCGAGGCCCTTCACCCAAGGCTGTCCTCTGACCTCCACACATGTGCCATGACACACGTGACTACCCCCTAACAGAAAGATAAAAGTAAGTAAATAAAATAACATCATATTGTGCAAATCCTCCAGTTTCCCTTCTCTGCTATATTACTGTTTTCCTGTAGGCTTTAGAGAGCTTGCCTTTCTGCATGGTTTGATTTCTGCTGTTTTCTCTTTAAATTTATTACATAGTTGTCCTCAGTGTCTATGGAGGATTT